GGAGCACCGCCGCGCTTCCCAAGCGGCGCACTATCCAGTGCGCCACCGGGCCGGCCCCAGATTTTGGATTTTTGAATTAGGGATGTTCAACCTGTATATATTACAGAGAAGAGCAAAGACAAAAAAAAAAAAAAAATCATGGCATGTCAGTGTGGCCAGAGTAAAAGTTGTGCAGGTGGATGATGAGAAACAAGACTAGGTAGGTGGGCAAGGGTTGACTAACAAAGAATCTACTAGACTTAGCTATCTGGATTTTGTCCTGGAAGAGCTAGACACCTGTTGAAGGACTTAGGCAAAGGAATGCATTTTAAGCTTGAGATTGCATTTAATAAAGATAATTCTGTTCTCATTATTGAATTTACTGCCAGTTTTATTCCAGAAAACCTAGGAATCTCAGTATTTTAAGATCTACATTGCTTGACATCTAAGTTAATAAAGTCTTGAGAAAGAGAATATACTACTTCATAGTTTAGGTTGGCAACTAACGTAATAAAGCCCAAATATTTTTCTAACTCTCTTTAAATATTATCAAATAATGTAATCTCTTTAAACATTACCAAATATTATAATCTGTTTTATCCCAGGCTTTTCAGGCTTAAATAGTTGTATCTTTTCAGGTGTACATAATCGAGCAAAATCAAGATGAGAGGGAATTCTCTGGATGTTGAAGTGAAAAACAGAAACAACAATGTGCCTGATGCACAACTAATATTTGTTTAAAATAAATACTTAAGTGAAACAAAATAATATTCAGAACAATACCCATAGTGCCTTCATAGTTCTCAGACTCCATAGTCAAAAAACTGTTCACTTTCTTCACTGCACCCATCTGGACCTCCAGGTCAGCCAAGTTCCTCACAACCCAATTTAAATAATTGGTTATCTGTGTCAGGTGACAAAAAAAAATTAACACATTAAAAATTAAAGTAAGCAATTTTCATAATCAATGGGTATTTTGGGATAAGTTGACCTGGTCAGTTGGTGTATATTATGTGGTACTGCAGGATATCGGCGACCAGAGAGAATGTCATGGGATATATCAGCAAAGAAGGTATCTACTCTTCTTCAAGGGGCCTAAAATGCCACCATTTTGTAAACTGTCTTCTGATTTTCCTGCACGATGGATAGTTGTATACATTTCTGTTTGCACTTATTTATATTCACATTCATTTTAATGTCCCCAACTGGGTTGTGAACAACTCAGGACAGGGATCCCAAACAGCCTTGGGAATGCTCTGACTATGGGATTTGAGAAATTTTTAAAAACTGGTTCACAATGGCAGAATGAATCCAAGCTGTCCTAAAATGCTGGGCCGGAATCTACTGTTATTTGCAAGAAGTCATCGTTATGAATTTCAAACTTCTCCTCTAACATCCATGAAAAAGAGTTGATGATAACTACAGGAAGTACCTCGAACACTGCACAAAAAAAGATTTTCATCCATACTTACCGTCAGTGCATACAGAAGACCCAAGCCCACCAATCCAGAATTGGAAGACCCACTAATGGATGCAATCGATGCAGTGAGGACAATGCAAGCTCCCAGATAATCCTAAAAAGGAGCAAGAGAAAACGTTGAGATTATCCCCAAATTCTTAAACCAAAGATCTCAACAGTTTCTCAAATCAGCTCACATGTGTGCATTCATGCTTCTTAAAAATAGCTACAAAGATCAAACTGTTGGAGAGCAACCAATGATCCCAGCTTTGGAATCAGAATCTGCGTTCAAATGTTGGCTTGCCAACTACTAGCTCATGAGCTTAGACAAGTAATTTAAACCCTTCTGAGACTCAACTTCTTCTTTGGAAAATAGAAATGATATCTAATTCACAGGGATTTTGAAAGGAATAAAAATGTTAAATACCAGTTACATTTCCCCATCTCCATGTACGAGGATGTCTTTTTTCCCCTGGATTATTTTCAGAGGTTTGAAGCAAGTTTAAACATTTGTGTGCATCATGAAACATCAAAGATTCGAACAGGCACTAAAATTTAATTCCATATTGATTCCCATAATCTTTACAAAGAATAAAGAAAGAAATCATACAGAGTTAATCCCTTGAGGCAATAAATTCCACAAAGGTAGTAAATACTTCTCTGATTGCTTTTTCTGAAGTATACATTTGTTAACAACTTGTTACATTCCAGTCAGTTTTTCCTCTTTTCCCCTTTATTTGAAGCAATAATTGCAGGGATGCAGAGTCTAACCAATCTCGGCTGTTATTTTACAGTTTATAAATGTCAATGTGTTCCCAAATGCTTCTAAAATATTCAAAGCAATATGAATTTTTTCCTTTCAGCTCTCTTGTATAAAGTTAATACTTTAGAAGTTACATTATCCATTTGTTATTTCCATATTATATTATTTTTTTATTATTGAAACATAACTGATTATGCATATTTGTGGGGTACAGAGTTGACTGTAAGCATTCATGTACAATATCTGATGATCAAATGGTTACATTATCCATTTGTTATTTCCATATTATTATTTTTTTATTATTGAAACATAACTGACTGTGCATATTTGTGGGGTACAGAGTTGACTGTAAGCATTCATGTACAATATCTGATGATCAAATCAGGATAATTGGCATATTCGTCATTACAAAACGTATTCATTCTTTGTGTCCATTAACCAATCTCTCCCTAACCCTCTTCCCCTCTCCCATCCCTCCTCCAATAACCACAGTTCCATCTTCTCCTGAAAGTTTAAATTTATGCATTTGTTGTTTGTTTGTTCTATTATCGCATCTATTGTTTGGTTTTTGTTTCTTTATTTATAGCTCCCACTTATGAATGAGGATGTGATATTTCTTTCTGTGCCTGGCTAATTCCACTTAACATAATTTTCTTCAAGTTCATCCATGTTGCTATGAATGACGGAATTTCATTCTTTTTATGGCTGAGTAATATTCCATTATGTACATGTACCACATTTGCCTAATCTAGTCATCAAGTCAATGGACATTTATGCTGGCTCCAACTCTTGGCTATTGTAAATAGAGCTGTGATAAACAGGAGAGTGCAGGTTTCCCTTTGACACAACGAGTTCCATTCCTTTGGATATATACCCCATAGTGGGATTGCTGGATTATATGGTAGATCTATCTGTAGTTGTTTGAGAAATCTCCACATTGTTTTCCATAATGGCTGTACTAATTTACAGTCCCACCAACAGTGTACGAGGGTTCCTCTTTCTCCACATCCTTGCCAGAATCTGTCAGTCTAACTGGGGTGAGATGATATCTCAATGTGGTTTTGACTTGCATTTCCCTGATAATTAGCGATGTTGAGCATTTTAAAAGACATTTCATGTTCATGGATTGGAAGAACTAACATTGTGGAAAAGTCCATGCTACCCACAGTGATCTACAGATTCAACGCAATCCCCATCAAAATACCAATGACATTCTTCACAGAAATAGAAAAAACAATCCTAACATTCATATGGAACAACAAAAACCCCAAAGAGCCAAAGCACTCCTGAGCAAAAAGTATAAAGCTGGAGGCATAACACTACCTGATTCCAAATTATACTACAAAGCTATAGTAATAAAAACAGCATGGTACTGGCATAAAAACAGACACTCGGACCAATGGAACAGAATAGTGAACCTAGAAATCAATCCATACTTACAGCCAACTGATCTTTGACAAAGGCACTAAGAACATACATTGGGGAAAGGATGGCCTCTTTAATAAATAGTGCTGGGAAAACTGGATATCTATATGTAAAAGAATGAAATTAGACCTGTACCTCTCGCCATATACCAAAATCAACTCAAAACAGATTAAAGACTTAAACATAAGATGTTAAACTATAAAACCTAACTAACTAACTAACTAACTAAATAAATAAATAAATAAAACAATTAACAGAGTAAAAAGACAACCTACAGAATGGGAGAAAATATACAAATTATGCATCCAACAAAGGACTAATATCCAGAATACACAAGGAACTCAATCTTATTTACAAACTATGCATCCAACAAAGGACTAATATCCAGAATACACAAGGAACTCAATCTTATTTACAAACTATGCATCCAACAAAGGACTAATATCCAGAATACACAAGGAACTCAATCTTATTTACAAACTATGCATCCAACAAAGGACTAATATCCAGAATACACAAGGAACTCAATCTTATTTACAAACTATGCATCCAACAAAGGACTAATATCCAGAATACACAAGGAACTCAATCTTATTTACAAACTATGCATCCAACAAAGGACTAATATCCAGAATACACAAGGAACTCAATCTTATTTACAAACTATGCATCCAACAAAGGACTAATATCCAGAATACACAAGGAACTCAATCTTATTTACAAACTATGCATCCAACAAAGGACTAATATCCAGAATACACAAGGAACTCAATCTTATTTACAAACTATGCATCCAACAAAGGACTAATATCCAGAATACACAAGGAACTCAATCTTATTTACAAACTATGCATCCAACAAAGGACTAATATCCAGAATACACAAGGAACTCAATCTTATTTACAAACTATGCATCCAACAAAGGACTAATATCCAGAATACACAAGGAACTCAATCTTATTTACAAACTATGCATCCAACAAAGGACTAATATCCAGAATACACAAGGAACTCAATCTTATTTACAAACTATGCATCCAACAAAGGACTAATATCCAGAATACACAAGGAACTCAATCTTATTTACAAACTATGCATCCAACAAAGGACTAATATCCAGAATACACAAGGAACTCAATCTTATTTACAAACTATGCATCCAACAAAGGACTAATATCCAGAATACACAAGGAACTCAATCTTATTTACAAACTATGCATCCAACAAAGGACTAATATCCAGAATACACAAGGAACTCAATCTTATTTACAAACTATGCATCCAACAAAGGACTAATATCCAGAATACACAAGGAACTCAATCTTATTTACAAACTATGCATCCAACAAAGGACTAATATCCAGAATACACAAGGAACTCAATCTTATTTACAAACTATGCATCCAACAAAGGACTAATATCCAGAATACACAAGGAACTCAATCTTATTTACAAACTATGCATCCAACAAAGGACTAATATCCAGAATACACAAGGAACTCAATCTTATTTACAAACTATGCATCCCTTTTATACTTTTGTTTAGAAGGTGCTATTCATGTTGTTCTTAAATTATACTAACTAGGTACTTTCCAGCTCACTCCTGGATTATTATCACTGCTCAAAAATATTTTTTCTAAGAAACTGGAAATTTTTTGCTCTTTTATACTTTTGTTTAGAAGGTGCTATTCATGTTGTTCTTAAATTATACTAACTAGGTACTTTCCAGGTCACTCCTGGATTATTATCACTGCTCAAAAATATTTTTTCTAAGAAACTGGAAATTTTTTGCAGGCATTTGATTAGAATTTTATCTGGATCTGAATAAGGGGCAAAGCAGCTTTGTGCACAATGTTGATCAAGAAATTTCATAGCAGAATCACTAAATTCCAATCACTTCCCTTCAAATAGTACAGTAGTATAGAAATGTTAAACTGATAGATAATATAAAAACTTAAGTTAGCTGCCCATTTTCTACTTCTTTACCATTAAATTAACAGGTATAATAAACTACAAGGCGACCCTGTGGTTATACTATCTCCCCATTCCTCTGCAAATATGTGAACAGCATAATGGCTTAAAGGTAATAAGTTAAGAAGAGAGAAGCAAATGGTCTGAATAACTCGCACACAGGAGAGCAAATGCTTGGAGATCGGTAGCACATTTATGCTCCTGCTGAGGCCTTATACACCCTAACCAATCTACTCAGTGAAAACACCTTCCAGCAAAGCGATACAATGGAATGAGAGATTCAGTTTAGGAAACAGAAGCTACTACGTGTATGAATTCACGCTCAATAGAGAGCCCAACCACAGGACATTTATCCGCATAGTACTAAATTATAACTTCCATCGACTTTGTGAATTCAACACTCTTTTTGTGATTCCCCAAAGAGGGGCCTCTTGTCTGGTTTCTAGTGATTCAATGACATCTATCTATATGGACTCTATTGAAAATTGTAATCTCTACAAGGCAGACTTTTAAATAGTTAATAGCAACCAAAAAATATGCAATCTCATTCCATCATAAGACCCTCAAGAGTACATGTCTCTGGTACCACTGAGTACCTGGGAGAATATATTAGGGCCTCCAAATTACAAGATCAGTGCACACCTGTCTATTGTGGAGTTGTGAACACACAAGAAAGCCCCATGTTGTTTCACAAAATAGACTCTTGTGCAAGCTCATCCTGAAGACTATTTGCACTTTAGCCTGTCTATCCCATCAACTTTAAAACCTTTTTTTTTTTTTTGGCTTCCTGCTGTGAATTTTATTTTATCCTTTCACCACACAGCAAGACAAAGCCTTGGAAAGACAGCCTTTAGATAGAATTACACAATTTTCGCAAAAGGAAACACCGATGCCAAAGAACTGGAATTGTTTAGAGCAGAGGGATGCAGTGAAAACACTGTGCTGAACAAAAGGACGTAAGCGGCATTAAAAGGTTAGGCTATAACGCACACCGCACACAACCAGGGCCACCTTACTTGGCACAAAGGAAAAAACAGTCCCTTCTGCTGCCAGAGCAACCTGTGTGGTCAGTTTAGCTACTTTTCTACCAGCCAAATTATTTTATTTTTTTAGACTCTTGTCTTTTTTTGGTTTGAGTGTGTTATGGCCTTTGTTTTTCTCCCAATTCAAAATGAATATGACATGAATGTGGTGGGCAAGGCTAAATCTTTCATAGAGAACTGTCTACCCAGAGAAAGAGAACAGATCGTGATTGTCTTAAATTTTACTTAACACGAATGGGAAAAGAGAGCTATATATTAAAAAATGCAATAAAATAAAATAATTGGATGGGTCTCAGGGACCTTCCCAAATTCAGCAAAAGGTGTTTTTCCTCTGGTTTCTCTCCCTTCCTTCTTCTAGAGGTTTTCCATCACAACAGCCGCAGCATTACTTCAGAAAGCTAGAACTGGGGATGAAGAGAGTGGAAAGGGAAAAATAGCCACAGAAAGCTTTGATATCAAGTGTCTTCCTCTTTCCATTAAAGCTCTGAGTCCATGAATTAGAGTTGATAAAATCCCCAGGTCAGTGTCAGGAAATCCTGCTTGCCTCTTTTAATCTATGCCCAACACAGTGACCCTCTTTGTACCATTTTTGTTGTGTTTCTGCTCTGGAAACTCCAAGAATATTTGCTATAAGCAGGGATTTATGTTAATTTACTGAATAATAAGGACAGGGCATGGAAGGGGTTGTGTTCACACTGTAGATAAGCTCAGTGCAGATAAGCCTAATAGTTTTCACTACTTATTTTTTTAAAAATGACTTACAAGGCAGAATATGTCCAGCTGTGGGGTTTAGAGAATAGCTCACACCCTAGTCTCCAAGGTCCTGTATCCCAACATTCATATTTCTGATATAAGATCCAATTATTTCAAACTGAAATTGTGTCTTCAGTGATGTGGACAGGTCCACAGAAGTGCAGTTGTAATGAGGTCATTTATATGTGTATAATTGGGAGAAAAGGATAGTTCCCAATAGTAGTTATCTACTTAATTTATTCAACACTCTTACTGTGGCATATGTTCTTGGATTACAGCATTTATATTTAAATATACCTGGTTCTAATGAAAACCATTAGTGTACCAAGAAGAACAGAATGAAAGTGAATCTGATTGGTCTTACACTGGATCTCTGGGATTGTCTAGAGATGTGTGCGCGTGTGTATGTATGCACACATGTGTGTGAACATGCTTGTGCATATCCACATAAACTTAACTGACACAAATAAACAATGTACTGTAGATGTACTTACACAAAAGACCTTAAACTTTGACTTCTGCCAGCAGATCTGCCTACAAAGTTCCCTACAAATTTACCTTTACCCATCAGAAATAGAAGCAATACTCTTTAATTTTTTGTATTACTTTTTTAAGGGACAGTTCTATTAATGAGACTAGGTAGCAAATCTTGGAAGGACTATAATCGAAATCAAAGAGAAGACACAGTAACAAATGTATTACAAAGTAACAGAAGGAATAGCAGATTGTGCGGTTTCTGTTTAAAATACCAATATTTTCTTTAAGGTTCTGCAGGTGGAAATAGAATTATTTAATATTCAGGTAGGTTCAACTGTTTTTCATGTGGGGGTTAAAGTACTGAGTTATGAGTCAAACTAAAGTAAAATTCTGATTTTGGCTGCTGTAGTTTTCTAATGTCTCCTGACCTTCCCTTTCCTGGCAGTCTTAAGGCTCTAATATCTTGTCTTCTGGCTCTCAGAACAGAACATGTGGTTTGCTTGAAGATTCTCGTTCAACACTTATTCATTAACCTGACAGTAGACGTGCTAAAGGGCAGAAACAGGAGTTGCCATCAGACATATGCCTCAAGTCCAAAGCAAACACACTTGCCCCTTGGAAGACATACTGGATCTTCAAGTTTAGGAAAATCAGAGACGAAGGTAACTACTAACATTTTTCCCTTATGATTTTGGGATATTCTTTCATTAATCTATTTCAACATTAATTCTATTACTCAGATTGTTTTTCCCCCTTAAAAACAGAAAACAAAAACCAAAAAACAAAAACACAGAAGCTTAAAACAAGGATTTATGGTCTGGATAGGGTGTAGGAATAATGTTTTGGTTTTATTATAAATCCTGAGCAAAACCTCACTTGCCTGTATGTTATCTATAAGTAATTCCCAAGAAATTCTGCCCTGCCTCCTTCCTACCCTCACAGCTACCTGGAAGGAGTTTCTTATCAACAACCAATGCTTCTTCAAAAATTTGTGAAATATAATTGTTGAATAATTATTGCTGAATAATTTCTACACAATGACTAACGTGTGGTAGAGAATATCAGAAAACCAGTTAGAAATCATGATAAGCAAAGCTCACAAGAACATCCAAGATTCTGTATCAATCTGTATTCATCAATCAGCTACGTGGATTTTAACTTGGGCTTCTTCACTTTGATCCTATCAAATTCCCTTTAACATCTGCCCTTTCTGGTCTGCTGAGTTTTTAAAGAAAACCTGAATATGGTAGAGAAATATAATCAGTGGAAGTTTCCAATAATACGAATAAACCTGTTTTCACTTTCAAAACTGATAGATTACTACTAAAATTGAAAGTCATTTTTCAATTTTCATACTGAAAAAATTGCAGTCAACTTATAATTACGACCAAAGCAGGTTACTCATGCTGCAGATTACACAGACTAGCCTGGACACTATATTCCTTTGCTTCTAGAAGTTCTTTTACTTCATACTCTAGCTGGTTGGTTTGTGAAACTTATACCAGTTTCCATGAACTTGTTCATTCATACATCCATTCAAAAGACATTTCTTGAATGCATTTGACAATCAGTGTACTAGGGGATTTATATTATTTTTAATCCTAAAACTCTCATTAGGTGTATATTCTTATTTTTATTTTATAGATGAGGAACTGGGACTCAAATAAATTAACTTGCTAGACCAAATCTGTGTGAAGCCAAAGCTTGTGCTTTTTCTTCTATGTCATACAGGACAGAAGAAGGCAATATATGGTTAATTGTAGTTTTTTACATTTTGTGCTAACATAATCCTCTACTGGATTTAAACATAGAAAGTTGCCATCTCTTCCAGGCCTGTCCAACTCAGTGAAGGAAATGAGTACATCTGTTCATTTGTCAAATTTGCTCTTCTGAAAAAAAATTGAAGTTATACAAATATTTGCCATTCCATTAACTTATGTAATCTAGAGACTAATGAACACAAAATGAATTTTTGGTTTTGGGTTATTCATCTTGCCATTAGGTAAAACATTATGACAAATTTCATCTGTGACATAAACAAACCTGAGCTATTTTAAAGTCCAGAAAATGTGAAGCTAGTGCTAAATCTCAGGGGAAGACTAATTTTTACAACGGCCTGCCTCTTTGCACCAGGCCTCTTCTCTGTTTGGTTTCCATTTCGAAATCATGAAATGAACGTACCGTCCTAACCTCCAGCCATCTGTTGGCAGCTGAGAGAAATAAGTAGGCAATGTTGTTTGTGTCCGTCAGTTCCAGCATACGTTGCTTAAATCTGGTTTCATGCCTGCAGAAATCAAAAATATTATGATGTTAGCCACACAACAAGAGAAGTAATAAAAAACAGTCACACTTACTACTATACTATTTACTCAACATAGTGACACACTGATGGGATGCAACGACTGGTAAATGGACTCCTTCTCCAAAACAAAGACCAGCTGCTACTGCTCCGTTGCATTTTCGTAGAGATGGTGTGGTCAAGTGTTTCTATCCTTTCTCACACCCCTACTAGGAAAAGGAGGCTTCCTGATGACAAAGTTTTATTAAAGATCATTTCATAAATTTCCACATAATTATAGTATCCATAAAAACAAGGCATGACCTATGTTGCAAGAACCTTATAAAAACCAGAATAAGTTGTACAGAAATGCAAAATACTCTACCTACTTTTTATGGAATTATTTTACTTTTCCAAATGACACAGTTAGAGTTGGGTGGGAGGTGCTGGATGAGAACCAGGGAAGACAGGAAACTATGCATTTGTAACAAGCCAATATTTATAGATAAAATTCCCTTTTTTCCTGGTGTTCTTGGGAACCAAAGAAGGAAATGGGGGTGTCAAGAATTAGAAGATGGGGGGCCCTTGGAGTTGGCAAATATTCTTGTTAGTTAAGAAATCTACACCCAAAAGTTCTGAACTATTTGTAAGGAGGGTCATTACACAAAAGGAATTGATGGTCTGTGATACACAGACCAGTCTTCAAACTATATTCCTTCCTTCCTGGAACTTCTGTCTCATCTTGGGATTCTATGACACATTGATACTGATCCCCAACAAGTTAAGTTCATTCTTGGTGTTCAACATAACCAGACCAAATTCTGTGGAACCTATTTTATAAATGAAACTACTAATAAAAGTCCATTTGAGCATGTGAGCTACTACTATCTCACAGAAATTCATGCTACATGGTGAAAAATCTTTTCTAAATCACAAAAGTAGTCTCTTTTCATTTTCTTTTTTTTCTTTTTTTTGTTTTTTGTCTTTTGTCTTTTTTTCCGTGTCCGGCAACGGATCGCAACCCTCA